ACTCTACTCTACTCTACTCTACTCTACTCTACTCTACTCTACTCTACCCTACTCTACTGTACTCTATTCTATTCCATTCCATTCTTTCTCAGTCCCATATTCCTAAATGCCCAGAGAGATAATTCCTTTATAATTTTTTTCCTGCTGCATATTAGAATAATCCATAGCTAGCAGTATTTATCTATTATTTACCTTCCTTGTACTGCATCCGTTCTCCAAGGTTCTGTGCAATTGAATCTTGACATAAAAGAACATCTTCCCCAAAAATGTATATAAAAATAACAAAGTTAAAAAGGATAAAAAAAAACCAAGACATTGGGCTGGGCATACTTATTACACCAAATTGTACATTAAGCTAAATGTTTAAACTTGGTACTCTTTCGAGGTAATTCTGCCCATTATCGGTGAGACCTATTGGTTCCTCCAGGATTGTTGCTTCTCAAGTGAGTTGGAGTGAAGTTAGTCCTTTCCCAGATAGATGTTAGAAGAAGTTATAGGCAGTCCTCAAGATACAACCAGCTGCTTAGCAATGAAAGTGATAACAGACCTCCAATATCAAGTGAGGTACTAATACCACTTTATAAAGCCTTAATAAGACCACACCTAGAATACTGCATCCAATTTTGGTCGCCACATTGTAAAAAAGATGTTGAGATTCTAGAAAAACTGCAGAGAAGAGCAACCAGGATGATGAGGGGACCGGAGGCTAAAACATACGATGAACAGTTGCAGGAACTGGGCCTGGCTAGTCTAGTGAAGAGAAGGACCAGGGGAGACATGATAGCAGTCTTCCAATATTTGAGGGGCTGCCACAGAGAGGAAGGAGGTCAAGCTATTTTCTAAAGCACCTGAAGGCCAGACAAGGAATAATGGATGGAAACTGAACAAGGAGAGATTTAACCCAGAAGTAAGGAGAAACTTTCTGACAGTGAGAACAATCAACCAATGGAACAGAAGTTGCCCTTGGAAGTTGTGGGAGCTTCATCACTTGACACTTTCAAGAAGAGATTGGACTCCCATCTGTCAGAATTGGTGTAGGGTCTCCCGCTTGGGCAGGGAGGGCTGGACTAGATGACCTACAAGTTCTCTTCCAACTTGGATTATCTGTTATCTGAGATTTTTTATGACCCAGTTTTGAACTTCCAATAGCTTCCCTTCCATGGTCATGTGACCATACATTGGGTTTTCAGCAACTGGCCTGTATTTATAGCTATTTGCAAGGTCCTGTGGTTGTGTGGCCCCATTTTACAATGATTCTGCTGAAAACTAGCATTTATTTCCAGTTTTCAGCAAAACCTACCCATAGAGAACAATGCATTCTCTTTATGACTGTAGCAGTCACTTTACTACTGACACCAAAAAGCTCATAAAATCGGATTGGTCAAATGGGTGACCCATTTTAAAATTATCATGATTTATATCTGAAATGAGCAGACTCCATTACCATCACAAGTCAAGGACTATCTGTATTCCTGAAACTGATGGGAAAAAAAGGCGCCTATATTTATTTTGTGTACACGTGTTCTGACCAAGGCTTCCTGAGACATTAACAGACACACATTAGTCCCAGAAACCTTTTCCTTTATTTCAATGGCTGTGAATTATAGTCATTCACAGCCCGTAATGAGTCTCAAACAGTTTGTAAATAGTCCCATAGAAGTCTGCCAAAGTCCTTTGGGATAAGTCTGATAAGCACGCACCTTTATCTTTCTCAAAATGCTGCCAATGATTAAATTGCCAATTAGTTGTACAAGGCCAAACGGAGCACAAATTCAACACAGAGCTTCCGGTTTCAAACCGACTAGTAAGAACAAAGTTGCTTCCTGCAAAAGTTCCTGTCCCTTTGCTCCTCCTATATGTCTTATGGGAGGGCCAATCACCTCCAAGCTTTACTCCTGAGTTGCCCCTTTTGTCTTAACTGTTCTTGCCTTCTGGCAGCTCTGTACATGAGCGCACTGGGAACAGGCTCCCGCTGTTCCTCTGCCTCACTGCCGTCAGATTCTGGAGGCTCCAGAGTCAGCACATAACTCCCAGATGACCCTGGCCCCATCTCTGTATCAGATGCAGAACTCTTGTTGGGTCCTCCCCAGACTAGCCCATGTTCTTCCCCACTGTCCAACTCTGCTGCCATCTCCGCAGGCTGCTGGCGGACCACAACAACACACTCCATTCCACAATTCTTGTTGTTGCTGCTTGTTGTATGGAACTATGTATGGGAACCTACACAAGCTCATATAATTACATGAACGGAAGATGAACAGTAATTGTCAATACAGTTTTGAACTCATTTGGAAATAATCTTTTTTAAAAATCTGTCTTATATTAACATTTTTTTTAATGTGAACTGAAGTTGAACCATTTGGTTCATGGGCGCTTCAACCATTCCTGAACTTTTACTGACCTGAACCAAAACCCAACTGGAAAATTCAGCCAGATCTAGAAGCAGACCACAAAACGCCATGTCTTGAATCACTTGGCCCAGAGAGTTTCAAATTGGTCGCTGTGTTCCCACCGAGATGCTTGCAAAGTTTGCATTCATTAAACTTTTCCCAATCCCTTTTGGTATGAGAATAGCTCATGATTTGGAGGGTGACTAATTATGAATCTGATTCATAAGCAGAGTGTTTTACTCACTGGTTGCAGCATTGCAAAGATGATTTCAATCAGAGAATCAATCATCAGAGCTGAGTCAACCGAAACATCCCTTTCTGGTTATCAGGTGTCTGTTCAGACACAACAATAGATATTCCACAAGCTGGAAAGCATCACAGATTCAGCAATCCAGTGAGTGTATTAAAAAAAAATGAGCATATCTGGATACTTTCATGGGGTCATAAATCTTATAACAGTCTGGAAAAAAAAACATTTCTGTTTTCTTATTCCCATATAAAGGTAAAGATTTCCCCTGTCTGGTCAAGTCCAACTCTTCAGGGTAATGGTCATCTCTATTTCTAAGTGGAGAGAGCCAGCATTGTGTGGAGACATTTCTGTGGTCATGTGGTCAGCATGATTATATGCCGAAGTGTGTGAAATGCTGTTACTTTCCCACCAAAGTGGTAGCAATAGCACTTAGACTTATATACTGCTTTACAGCCCTCTCTAAGTGGTTTACAGAGTCAGCCTATTGCCCCCAACAATCTGGGTCCTCATTTTACCCACCAGGAAAGGGTGGAAGGATGAGTCAACCTTGAGCTGGATGAGATTTGAACCACCAAATTGCAGGCAGGTGGCAGTCAACAGAAGTAGCCTGAAGTACTACACTCTAACCACTGCACCACCAAGGTTCTTGTGGTACCTATTTATTTACTTGCATGTACATGCTTTTGAACTGCTATGTAGGCAAGGAGCCGGGGCAAGTAACAGGAGCTCGCCCCATCCCTTGGCACTTAGGTCTCAAACTTGGGCTGTCCATTCTCCAGCTGACAAACTCAGTGTCTTTAACTGCTGAGCCATTATGTCCCTTTTCCTAGATAAGAATTCTGCAATTAATCCCCAAGAAAGATTGATTTATTTTAACTAAGTTGTTTAAAATGGAAGACCACATGCCAGGGATGACAAAATGGT